GGACAGGAAGGCCTGGCACGATGTGGTTCATGGGGTCATGAAGAGTCGGACACGACTTAACAACTGAACAACAACAAGAGTACCCAGATGATTCCTATTTGTGATCTAGTCATTGCAGCTGAAGTGTCACCAGATATTTTCATATTCTTTGTTCTTCAGTCCTTTCTTATGTTGAGGACCAACAGACAGGAATATTCTGGTGGCGGTAGTTTTATAAAATGCACATATAGAGAATTGTTGGAATAGCAAACAGGATCTTCATCTTTCTAGCTCCTCTGACATGAATTATCTAGGGGAACCATAAAACACCAAACACCAGATTATAGTTAGTTGATTAGGAGACTATAAAGTAGTCTTGAGAAGCAGAGAAAGAAGTGGTCTGCCTATCTGGACAATCAAAGAGGAAGAGGAAATGTTAGGGAGGAGATGAAAAGAAAGAACAAGGCAAGAGACAAAGACAGCAACAAACAGGAATACAGAAAGAAAAACAATGTAGAAAGAGAAGGGAATGTAGCAGCTAGAAGATATACAATATAAGATGGTGACAGGAGAGGAAAAAATCAAGTAAGCAGGAACAGATGCTGTTTACCAATGCTTTGGACCAGGAACATTCATAACAAGCCAAAATAATGTCAAAATGACAATACATGACATCATCGCACATATGGCACAATTATGTCATGACATCTGACACAAGTACATGCCACCCTTTTCCCCCACCCTCTTACTGCTCCACAGACATACATGCCTTAATGAACACCAAAGAGATGCTGTAAAACCAAAGATCTATCTCCAAAACATTATTACAAACTTAAAATAAGGCAGCAGATAAAACTATACCTCAGGTTAAAACACACACAGTGATGTGTCTGGGAAAATAAAATTACTTTAAACTCCCACCTCTCCAAAATGTAATGAAATCAATCATGTATTTTCTTAGGAATGATAATCTCCTAAGGGTCAAACTAGTTCAGATTAATTCCCATGATGTCCAACAATCTGCTGTCATAGCAACACCCAAATGGAGAACTCTTCTAGCCCATATATTATTGAAACATGCTTTACCAGTTGAAGAACATGCTTTTCAATCTCCCTATTTTCAGTATTAATATCTTCCTCTTTTATTTTAGACTCGGCCTTTATCGCTATGTAGTGAGCACTGCCATCTTGGCTCTAGCAAAAAAGTGAGGGAGGGGAGGCCATTTTGCTGCTATGACTGTGTCCCCTGTCCCGAAGGGAAGATTTCAGACAAGGAAGGTAAGAAATAGTAGGAGATTTCATTCAGAGAGCCAATCACAGTTGCACGAAATGGTTGGATCTGCTCCAGCTTACCTTGGACCATTTGAACTTTACGTCTAGATCTGGGGTAATGGTTATGTGCCAACAAGTCAGTGTTGACCCTTAGCAATCACAGAGATACATTTTCTCCAAGATGATTTTCTATCCATGCAGTTTTCTTGGTAAAATAAAGGAGTCCTTTACCATGTCCTTCTCCAGTGCAGTATGAAATGATAGCTTTGCTACCTCCAGCATCTTCCTATATCGCTGCTGCCCAATGTAGGAGCCTGCATGCTTTAGCTGGGCACCTGGAATGACCTTCACACCTTGGGTGACCCTGTTGGGAGTATGTACTCTTGGCACACCCTCCCAGCATTCTTCACTCATCCCTTCCAGAAAGGGCAGGGATGTGATTCAGGAAAAAAAAACTGTTGCTCTCCTATGGAGGGAAAAAATCTGAATTGCTGCAACATTAACATTTTCAGCCCAAATGAATGAATGAAGTTTGAAGAATGAAAAATGAATAAAGTTTGTAAGATACGTTGTAGCTTTATAATGACACAAAGCCCACTAATTGTCACAGGCTTTTGCCTGAGCTTCATTAAATATGTTCTGTTTTCTTAAAAAGTGTGGTAACTTTTTCAAGTAGATCGAATGAAATATTCAGTGGAGTTTATCCAGGGGATACTGTTGCCAAATTTTAGAGGAATTTGCAGAGGAAGATTTTTGCAAAAAGATGAGTCAATGCCCCTTTCCTAAATACTCTAGCAGATTGATGAGAATATGGTGGAAGAATAAGGAATGAACTTGCTTTTTCTATAAAATAAAGCCATTGCTAGTCACCATTGGTTTACTCAGCCAAATTAACTGGGTAATATACTAATCCAAAATCAAAGGAACTACATCAAGCCTTAGTGGGGTGAGTGAACTCAGCTGTCTGTCTGAGAGGAATAATTAGGGCAGAGAATTATGACATCTGCAGGAGTTAAAAGCTGTCTTTTCTTTTTCAGATATGAATGAGTGTATGAAATGTTCAGAAAAAGACTACGCAAACAAGAATCGAGATTTCTGTTACCCTAAGATTGTAACTTTTTTGTCTTACAAAGAACCTTTGGGAACAACTTTAATCTCCCTGGTTTTTTTCTTTTTTTTGATGACAGCTCTGGTGCTTGGCATATTTATTACACATCACCACACTCCTATTGTCAGAGCCAACAACCAATTTCTTACCTACACTCTCCTCATCTCCCTCCTCCTCTGCTTCCTTTGTGCATTGCTATTCATTGGCAGACCTCATAGGGAAACATGTCTCATCCAACAAATAGCTTTTGCTATCATTTTTTCAGTGGCTGTTTCTTGTGTGCTGGCCAAAACCATCACAGTGGTTCTGGCTTTCATGGCCACCAAACCAGGATCCAGGATGAGGAAATGGGTCGGGAAAAGACTGGCCAGCTCCATTGTTCTTTCCTGCTTCCTTATTCAAACAGGCATCTGCGTTGTGTGGTTGACAATTTCTCCCCCATTTCCAGACATGGATATGCAGTCGATGGCTGAAGAAATTGTACTGCAGTGCAATGAAGGATCTATGATTATGTTTTACTGCACGTTGGGCTATCTAGGCTTCCTAGCCATCATCAGCTTTGCTGTGGCTTTCCTTGCCAGGAAATTACCGGATACTTTTAATGAAGCCAAGTTCATCACTTTCAGCATGTTGGTCTTTTGTAGTGTTTGGTTGTCCTTCATTCCAAGCTACTTGAGCTCCAAGGGAAAATCTATGATTGCTGTAGAGATCTTTTCCATCTTAGCCTCCAGTGCTGGACTACTAGGTTGTATTTTTCTTCCAAAATGTTATATCATTGTGTTAAGGCCTAAATTGAACAAGGTGCAAATAATGAGGAAAAATTGCTGAAGAGTTTAATCCTACCCCTTACCAGAAGCTACCCTTGTTTTTAATCTAGAATTGTCTCTATGGTTTCTTAAAATACTCTCCAGTGGTTGATCTTCAGCAGCTACCCCTTCTAGAAGTCTCAATATCTTGCCTAGTTGGAAAACTAATAAAGATTTGCCAAAAGAAAATCAAAACAGGAATTTTCTCCCTGCATACTTTCAGGAACTCTTATTAAATCTTATATGCTATTTTTCTTTAAATTTTTGGCTTGGAATTCTTCTAGCTGGATTACTGTTGACAAAGAAAGACTAACTTCTGTGAACATGCATGTGAAAGCACGGCACCATCTAAATAGAAGCAACAACAATATACAGTGGTACCCCGGTTTACGAACTTAATTCGTTCCGTGACTCTGGTCGCACCCCGAATTGGTCGCAACCCGAAGCAAATTTCCCCATA